TTTAAAAATTGATGATGATTTTGCAAATGACATTAGTATTCATTTTTACTTTAGCATGTTAGCATTAGTTGAATTAGTGGGTGGAATAAGAAACCAATAGCTTTATTGGTTCTTCCTTTGAACTAATATTATTTTCTAAAAAACTGTTATATATCATATAATCTTATATAAAATATGATAAGAGTTAGAGCAGCAATCTACTTAGATGTTGAACAAAAACACTACAATTAGCAAACCTACAACACTAATACTTATATCACTTACCATGAATAAAACGCATAAAAACAATAGGTAATGGTCACTAGATATCAAAACAATCACACCACAGGTCATGTTTGATTGGTGTTACTGGTCATTCCTTAATCACACTATGAAAATAAGTTAAATTTAAGAAACTTTCTTAAGAAATTAGGGATAGTTAAGCATTAATACTGATAATTTTTTACCACACTAAGGGACAAATGAAGAATATGTTTTCCTTCTATTTTTTTCATGAAATAGGTATTCCATGATTTTTTTTTAATTTAAAGAAAAATTAAACATTGAAACTTAACTATTTGTAATTCTGCATAAAAATTTCTTAATTTTAACATATTTTTATGATTTGACCAAGAAACAGCCGCCACTATAAAGTCATAAACCAAACAAGCACTAAGGGGATTAAACACCACCACATAGGGACGCATCTTGAGTAAAATTTTAGGGGGCCAAAAAAAATTTCAAGGGTATAAGTCCGTATAAGTTTTAAAAGATAAAATTTTAGGGACCAAATAACAAAAGACCCAAAAATAAACAGAGATTTTGAAAATTTTTTAGGGATATTACATTTTTTTAATGTAATTATTTATTATATTTTTTTAAATTTATATTTTTTGTTTCTTAATAAATTGAAGAATGTAATAATTAATTAAAATAAAATAAATAATATTAATAATTAAGAATGTGATAATAACATCGTCTTACGGAAACATTTTAGTAACTTCAATTGCCTTTCCAGCTGATGATAAACAAAAACCATGTATGGTAGATCTAAAAATCCAAACCCACATTAGGAATAAGGTCCATCCAGATTCTTTAAATTTGAGACATAGCCCACAGCTTCCATGTTGAGGGTTCTATACACAGCTAGACTTTTCCAATAAAACATAAGCACTCAGAATCATTAGACAACTAATGTCAATTCATGGTCGTCGTCAAGGTATCCCTATCCTCATCGGCCAAATGCTAGATTCTCCCATAAAGCAAAAGCATCAGCCTTGCAACCATTGCATTCAAACCGCTGGCCTCCCACACACCCACACTGCAAATCACAACACCTGTAACCAGTAACCTCATTGATGGTGGAGCATGGGTCCTATCATGAATCTAAAAAAATTAGAAAATCAAGAGATTCAAACCAATATTTTAGGTAAAGAAAAATGTTAAAGACCCTATACCTTGAATCTCTCGTAAAGATTTAATTTAAAAAAAAAAAAATCCACGCAACCATTAATTCTTTCAATAAAAATTTAATGTGCAAATGGAAAATTCAACTTTTATGAAGGAGAAAACCCAGCAATTTGCCTTGAAGAGTAATGTGAAGTTTTGAGTCTCTTTTTTGGCCTACAACAATGGTCTCCTTGAGGAAGAAGAAGAAGAAGCGAGGAAGGAAAGGGTAAAGATAATGAGTTAATTACTGATTCAATTACTTTAAAAAATTATAGATTTAATTGAATCTAATTATTTAATTGCTTTTATAGAGTTTTTTTTTTCAATACAATTTTAGATTTTATTTAATAATTAGTTTTTTTATTCTATTTAAAT